GCCATGCCACGGCATGCAATGCAATGCTAGGTTGATACTACGCTTTGCGGTGCTCTTCTACGCCATGCCATGCCGTGCTCTACAATGCATCGCGTACCCTTTCGGGATCATTGCCCTGCTCGACATCCGACTGTGCGAGTAGAGAGGGGATCTGCGCCATGGTAAGGGATGGGAGGGAGGGGTAGGATGTCAGATATGACGCGAGCGCACCTAGCTTGCCTCCTCCCCCTCCTCCTCCTCCTCCTCCTCCTCCTCCTCCTCCTCCTCCTCCTCCTCCTCCTCCTCCTCCTCCTCCTTCTCCTCCTCCTCCTCCTCGAGGGATGTGGGGGAGAAGCCCGCCGCTCCGCACAACGCCCCCGCCCAGACTGGCGGGAGCGGCGGGGCAGGGCGCGCTCGGCTCGAGGTGCGCCCACCTCGCACGAGCTGTGTGTAAGTATGGCTTTCCCTCGGGGCTCCGGCCAGCGGGGTCAATGGCTGCGGCTCCAGCCCTCCTCCCCCTCCTCCTCCTCCTCCTCCTCCTCCTGGTCCTCCTCCTCCTCCTCCTCCTCCTCCTCCTCCTCCTCCTCCTCCTCCTCCTCCTCCTCCTCCCGCTGCTGCCTGGGCCGCTTACCCTCCACCCCTCCCCCTCAGCCGGCCAGGCCATGTACCCCGCTCACGGGGAATCCCCGAGCAGTCATCTCCGGGCTATGTACACCGCGTCAGGATGAGGTCGGACCCTGCCGCGCCGCCTCGGGAGGCAGCTCCTGGGAGCTCTTCGGGGGAGCGCCCGAGGGCTACTGCTCGCCATCGCTCGGACGTCCGCTCCCCGTGCCACGTGTCGGCCTCGTGCGTAAGTTTTGTTCCGCAGGATGCCCCAAGATGCTCCTCGAGCGCCCTCGCCGAGAAAAGATGCACACGTCTGAGCGATGCCAGGAGGAGCCCGTATTTGGGGGCCACTGGGCTGGGCGAGGCCCAGGAGGAATCTGGACTGCGCCGGATCGGGCGGGACTGTGAAGAACAGGTCCAAGCAGGCGTTGGCCCGTTGCCGACCACGGACACACCCTGAGATCCGACGTCGCGCATGACACCATCGTGGAAAAGAGAACCAGAGCCCTAGACCCCATCTTTCTGCGGTAATCGTTTTTCGAGCCTGGTCGATCTGTGATGGTCCCCGGGCTCGAAATCGGACGCAAACGCAAAAAAATGCAACGCCCAGATCTCAGGACACCTACGCCGACGCTGAATTTCACCTCCTATAGAGGCCTCCCAATGGGGTCGGAGCAGATCGGGTCGGAGGATCGCGCCGGATCGTCGATGCATCACGTCGGCGATGCAGCGGCGACGTCGGCGCGGCGAAAACCGAGCTCCACATCAAGCCGCATCGCCGATGCATCGGCGATGTGGCGCGCTCCTCCGACAGTCTACTGAACCCCCGTGGGAGACCCTTGTTCACAAAAAAACTGAACAAAAAAACCTTGCCATCTCTTGGAAGGCCGACTCTTTCTTTACGCAGGTACCGACCGTCTGGGCATTCCTATGGTCCTACCGCGAAATGCACTTAGAACGAATAGTGTTCTAAGCGTCAAGCAATGCTTTAAAATAATAAACCCGATGTATTAAAACCAGACGGTCTCAGCCAGACATGTCTGAGAAAATCTCATGCAACCCACAACCGGATCTCAGAACATTCGTTGGTGGGCCTATACGCAAACCAGGACGCTGAGTCGGCACAACGCAAGAGTGACCCCAGGCAAGAGTGGCCTTCAGTGCGGCGGCCAAGGGGGGGCCCTCTGGGGACACCGCCAGGCGCGCACGCCGCTGACATCGCCTCGCACTCGGCGATCGGGGGGCCCCGTTGGGCCTGCGGCGAAAGGCCACTCTTACGTGCAGTCTGGGTAGTCGAAGCCAATCTGGCGCCAATCTGGCAGGCCCGATCTGGCAAACGGGGGCAATCTGGCGAGGGAGCCAACGCGAATCCAGTCTGGCGAATAACCCAAATCATCCAGTTAGGCCAGCCCAGATTGGCCCTTGGGGCCCAATCCAATCTGACAGTCTGGCCTTCGACTACCTAGGCAGTCGAGCTGGGCCACTGCTCGAGGACTTCTGCCGCCCTCCGCCGGGCTTCCGCCGGCCTCTGCCGACTTGTATTTCCGCCGCCCTCCGCCAGCCTTCTGCCGTTATGTCGGGCGTGCCCCCCTACAGAGGGATTTTCGACGAAAAATAAAGAATACTCCAAACATATTTTAAAAAATAATCCAAAAATAGTCTGGGGAATATGTTTGAGTATTGTTTGACCTTCCTGGGGTATTTTGGGGGTATTTTTTTAATTTTTCATCGAAAGTCCCCCTGTGTGGGGGACACGCCCGACATAATTCTACCGCCGCCCGCTGAGGAAGAGACGCCAACTCCTCCGATCCTCGAAGACGAGGCCCTTGCCAGGGCTCGAGCTACGCAGTGTCGTTCGTGGTCGTTCTGTGTCCGTTCGTGCGGCCTTCGACCCGCATACCTGCCGCGGCACGAA